CCCCAAAACCCCAAAACCCCAAAACCCCTTTATAAAAACTAAATATTGATCAAAAATTAAAATAATTATGGATCAACAATGGAAATCAGATAGGCAAAAGAAGACTACAAGGGATACAAGCGGAGCTTCCGAAGATATATTATCATCAATCCTATCCCAACTCCAATACCCCATCTCCAAACCCACCAGCAAGTACGGCCTCCGCTTAGCCACCTCCAACTACAAAATCCAGCACAAAACTCACAAACTAACCAAAAGTACGCTTCCTACTCCTTTCTCACCCACGAATCTCTAGTCGCTCCTGACCCTTCCTAGTTTATTCCTAAAAAAATTAAAAAAGTTTACTCTGACTGGTCTAGAACAAAATTTTGAATATTAAAAAAATAGTGAATTTTTAAGGTTTTTTAGATTTTTGTTTTTTTAGTTGGAATAGTTTATGGAGGTTTATTTTGAGGAGGAATAATGAGGATTTAGTGTTGAAAGTAGGGATAGGAGAGAGAGGTGAAGGAGGAGAGAAGGAAGGATTTGAGCAGAGGATGGAAATGAATGGTAGGTTTGGGAGTGAAGTGGGTATCTAGGCACTATCGAAGAATACCATAAGATCGGAGTAGAGACTGTGGTCGACGAACAAGTGCCAAGTGAGAGCAGCAGCCATGAAGAAGAACAGGAGCAGGAAGAAGACAAGAGTAATGAGGAGACAGAGAGCGAGAAGGAAAGTCTGGAGCAGGAGAAGGAGAAGGAGAAACCATTGGAGAGGAGGAAGAGGAAGGTGGAGTATGTTAAGTTTGAAGTACAAAGGGATACACCAATGGGAAAGTGAGTTTCAAGGGATAGATTGGTAGAGATGAATGCACCCAAGGTTTATAGTCCTCCTGTTGGGTATTATTCACCGAATTTTATTGGGAAGAATAGAGCTGTTAAAATTTATCCAGATCGTTCACAGGTAAAAAAAATTGAACAAAATTTTGAAGATTCTCAGGATTTCAGAAAGACATGCAATAGGTTTCTTCAAAAACAGAGTTTATTTAATATACAAACTGGAACAATCAAAAAAACCTCTTTTAGAACAACAAGAAAAATCAAATTTGACAAAAGTAAAATATATTTAAATGGTTTAAAAATAATTCTAGGTCTTACAAAAACATCAAACAAAAGTCTATCTCGATTACACAAAAGTACTCATGAAACTATACTCAGAAGAAAATCCTTAGATAACCTCAAAAACAAAAACTCTCAAATTCACTCACAAAGATTCCACAGATCTAGCCAAGGAGGAATCGATTTCAAACGAATGCTACAACGACCAAGCTTCATCCAAAACTCTGAAACTCCTCACCCAGAACGCTTCTCCACCAGCCAAATAATCCCCCTATCCTCCTCCAAGTACAAATCCCCCAAGAACACCATCATGCACAAACTCCTCGGCACCTCTTCCTACTCCAACGACCGGTATTCACCCCTACACAGACCAGCCAGGCTCCGTTCTACTCTCCTAAAATAGACTACTTGTTCCAGAAGAGCCCTTCTGTAAAGTTCAGTCATAAAGGAATTCACCAGTTCTTATAGAAGAGAAGAGGGATAGATTGAGGGAGTTGAAGGAGAAGGTCAAGGTGTGGAAGAAAAGAGAGAAGAGGTGGGTATTGGGGGTGGAGTAGGGATAGGGGTGGGTTTAGAGGGTGATGGGGTTATGTAGTGTGGGTTAGGTAAAATAGGGGTGATTAAATGGTGTGCTCTGTTACTATCTTAGACCTTGCTTGGCTTTTGAAGCTCTGAATAGTTTTTATAGGAAGGAAATTGAAAAGAGAGATAAGTTCATATTCTAACTTTGGAGTTACAATTTCACAGGTGAGAATTTTAATGTGGCTAGTTTACTTTGAGATCATATTGATTTTTTAAACCTTTACGAGCTTAAAGAGAATCACAGAGTGAATCTTAAGGGGTTTCAAGCAACATAAACTTTCAATAAGAAATTTTCAGGAGGGGTTTTGGGGTTTTGGGGTTTTGGGGTTTTGGGGTTTTGGGG